AACATGTTGAATCGGATCTTGGTCTTCTGATAAGTATAGGTTCGTCGCGTTTTTGTTATTTTTGGCAACTTGGACTATCGGCTTTAATCAAATTCATCAATTCAACTGCAAATTGATGAAACAAATATATCAAAGCATCAAATATCATTTTACCAAGATTCAATCATCTCTTCAATGCATCATCATTAATTTGCAATATTGAGATGAATTATATAAATGAATCAAAGATTTGTTGGTGATATCAAAAGAAGAGAAACAAAATTAATTGACATAGTCTTTGAGTGCAATTTTGATTATGTAATCAAATCATGCTTTCACGTTAAAAATTTAATCACAAGACAATATTTAATAATTAATTTAAAAAAAAAAAATATGATAAAAACAATATGTTAATGCTAATAAAATTAAAACTAAAAAGAAATATTTCAATAAGAAAGTATGTTACTATCTCAGATGCAGAAAGTTAATGATGATATATATCACAACGAATGAATAATTTTACATCACAAAACAAAAGGAATAATGGCCTTCCTATTCTTCGGGTACATATTTCCAAATTTCTCTTTATACCATTTTAAATTACTTAACGATCTCGGTACAAGATTGGAGAATGTAGCTATCAAGAAAATTACTGCAGGTAAACTAAACCAAGCCGCAATCGCGAAGCCGGCCCATTCAATTATTTCACCAAAATAATTTGGACTTGTTATATAATTAAATAATCCACCGTTTGGAATTTTATATTTACTAGAATGATTTGTACTAGTTGATGCTTTAATAGATTCTGATTTAGAGATAGAATTATCAGGATTTCTTCGTAATGAAAATAAAATATTATCATGATGAACATTAATCATCATTCCTACTAAAAAAATAATAACACCAAAAATAAATCTTGGAGATTTATAAATTTCTTGATGATTTTCATTATAAAGGTAATTATCTCTACCAAAAACTGAGATCCAACGTGAATTAGTATATCCGTTAATAATATTAAAAAATATACCACTAAACACGGTTGATATATGCATTGGTGAAATACTCGGAGCTCTATAAGTATATATGACAGTTCTATTTATATAATGGATCATCCAGAATGAAAAGAGAATCAGTTGAGTCGTAGTATATGTTGAATTGGTAGAAATGGTAATAGAGAAAAGATTTTTTACGAAGAAACTGTAGATGAATGCTATGGGTGATATTGATTCCATGAGAAACCACCCGAATTTTCCTGAAAATTTTGATCCATTCCATTGAAATTTTCCTATTAAAAATTTTAATATTTAAACTTTCAAGTTAAATATGAAATTTTGTAATTTAAAATTTTTTTTTACAAATAGTTTACCATAAGGAGCAGTTACAAAGAGCGTCGAACTCAAAAAAATTAAAGGAAAAACACAATAAAGTTTCATAATCGCATCAAAAAATTCACGTTCATTTTGTTGTATCCATGTTACGAATTCTTTCGTTTGATTTAAGAATCCTTCCATTTTCCTTGATTAAATCTGGCAAGCAGACTGAAATGTGTATGTCGATATTTTAGTGTGTGAATAAGTGAATAAGTTATGAAATATGTGAAGTTATGAAATATGTGAAGTTATGGAATATGTGAAGTTATGAAATATATCGATATGTCATATGTAACAATTTAATGTGTAACAGTTGGAATGTTAGCTTAGCTGTCTTAATCAGTATATCCAAATTTAACACTATCCTATCAGTTTTAGTGTTAGTACGTATGTTATAACCTATTGAATGACGTCTAAGACAAACATGTTTCACTTTAACTATATAGGTACGTACTTGTTTATATCAGATATGTAAGAAAGAGCAATTGGATTGAATATTGCCAGCGTACCTTGCATTGTTTAAAGTATCCGCTACACTTCAGACAAAATTAGATGTTAAAATATTTGCTTATGCATTAGAGTTATTTTAAATTTCGTTTTGTTTAATATGTCCAAGCTTTTTGTTCATTGGTTTTAATTAACACCTTTAAAAAACTATACGTGTATGCCTCTTATAGCTGTTCTTTTTTATCGGCCGATAAAAAAAACTTGTCGAAATCGGCATCAATTTTATCAATTATCCCAGAATTTATGAGAATATCTGTAATAAAAATTATTATGGCATTTAGTCAGCTGAAATTAGTATTTCTTAGTTGCCGAAATTAATTTCATATTCAAAATTAATTTAGGCACCACATCTATGTGATCCGTTCAATAATTTATATATTATCTATTTTTAGATAATTGATTTTAGAGTAAGATCGTCAAACGGATCGCACCTCTATCTGCTATGCTATATAAATTTAATAAAAAATTACTACGTATATTTCACGGGCTAAACCTGTAAACTATTTATACGTAGGATTTCCGTGGTGTTATCGTTTATCTTCATAATTGTTACATATTCATTTGTTACATTACGTATCTGCAGTACTGTTGATACTATGTATGACTCGAATCATCTAGTCGCACCAAATCTGCGCCACTTTCACTACTAATTTAAGTAATATTTAATTGTAGTGACAAGAACCAATCGAATACGTACGTAGTATAGTGATGATGACAAGAATATTATCTTTTTCTAAAATTGTATCTCCTCGGTAAATTCGCAAAAAAAAAACCCCGTAAATGATAGATCTTATCCAGAACTACAAAGTTACCGCACTTTTTTTTTTTTTTTTTTGCCAAATATTCGATGAGAAGTTCCAATTTTACCATAGTTAACTTACAGCATAATTTATATTTTAGAGAAATTACATCTGCTTTTCAAAAGTATTTACGATTCAAATCAATATCTGATATGTTAAAAGAACTGAGTATATAAAAGAAAATACTTTATAGAAATTTAAAAAAAAAATTAAAATTACGTAACTGTTAAATGAACAATAGATATAAGTTAGAATAGAATTTGAAATTTGCTTTGTGTTAAATACAGTAATTTAAAGATTGTTTATCGAAATCTCACACATTATACATATATTTTGAATCGTTCATTCTACCTTGAACAGGATTAATAATCTAAACAATTGAGATAATCATTAAAAATTGATCTCGTCTTCATGTTGAATGATTCAGATTAGATTAATATCTCAAAATACACTTTTTATTTACATATTTTATTATTCATTTCATTGTAAAATTAAAAAAAAAAGAAAAGAAAAAAATTGAAAAATGTCGAAAAGTATTCTTTATTAATTTGTATTAACATTTCTATTAAAACATTAATATTTCTATTAAAATTAAAGAAAATTTACAAATTAATGAACTTAAAATTATTGCATATTATCACTATTAAAGTAGAGTGATGATGAGAGGTGTGCATAAAGAGAAAATAAATATCTAAATTGTCTTTGTTTAATTTTTTTGATTCAACCATACTTTTTAATGTTAAATACTATGATGATACCATTACATCAGCTGGTGAAACTATTTAAAAGAAAATTATGAAAATTATTAATATCATGTTTTGAGAAAAGATATGATAAAAAAGTATTATAGATTGATACTTACTATCAAAAGGTATTGATAATTCGTATTGTTTTCGGAGGTCATCATCTTCTTCCTCCTCTAAATCTCTTGTTTGCAATAACCTATTCTTAACAAAATAACTTTCATCTCGAACAAGTAAAGATGCCAGATCAATTGAATTTCTATTTGAAGCATCATAAGATTGTTTAATACGATGAGAACTAACACCAGACAAAGGAAGTATGGAAAATTTAATCTTTCTACTCGTATATATAGCTTGTGGATGAATCTTTGGAGGGGAAACCATTTTTCCAGGAGTTGTATCAAGTCCTTTAGCTTTCATATTACTAAGTCTAATATTTTCTGCTGATTCAAATAAATCGGAATTTTTACCATGTAAATACCAATCTCCTAAAATTTTAACAATTTCAGAAATTTCTGGACGATCTGAAGGATCACTAGACCAACAACGTTTCATTAATTCTGAATAACATTCAGGTGTATTAGAATCAACTGAAGGACGTAAATTTTGAGAACTAATAGCATCTTTTAGTTTAGAATTTCGAGGTCTATCATAAAAAGGAGGTTTGTTGGTCGATAATTCCCACATTAACATCCCAAAACTATAAATGTCCGATTTTATAGAATATGAATTATTTTTTAAAATTTCCGGTGCCATATAAGGCAAAAGGTCATTTTTATAATAACCTATTATTGGAATTGGATCTTTACTATCCCCTAAGCCCAATTCATTTACAGGAATTTCTATATGAGATTTATATATTTGAACATTCGATGAATGATCTCGATGGACTTGTTCACCATTATGATAAGATTCGAGAGCACAAGCAATAGAATGAAGGATAGCAACTTTACGAGACCAGGTTAGGCGAGCAAAATGATGAGAAACATAATGTCTTAAATCCCATTCGCAAGTTTCGGCAACCAACATTAGATGACCAGTGACAGTTTCTCGAGTAATACCAAATAATCTTATTATAAGTCCATTCTTTGAGCGAAAATTATAACTGAGTTTTAACTAAAAAGAATATAAGAGAATTTAGAAAAGTTTGAGATAGTAAGTTAAAAAAAAAATTTTTTTTTTAAATTTACCTCTTTTAAAAATATTACAGGGTCTTTGCCAAGAGAAATAAGAGCGACTTTTATTAAATCTCTCTTGGCCACATATTTATTCTCAAGTTTATTCCAAGCGTCTCTTGGTCCCTTCTTCCAATTAGCAGTATAAACTGTTCCAAATTCAGAAGTATCATACTTATTTATACCAATAAAAGATTTGAAGGGTAAAAATTCTAAATATTCGGTGCAATCTTTAGCATTTAATTGAGTTTCTCTTATAAATTCATCTATTTCTTGAAAACCGGTAGTCCAGTTATCAAAATTTTCTCGAAACTGTTGACTTTGACAAGATTGGCACCAGTGGCTTGTTATTGTTTGATCACATTCAGTACAGTAACTCTTGGCAGTAAACCCCATATTTATTTTTTATTTGTTTTAAAAAAAAATTGGTATTTCTAAAATTTTGCTTCGCCGCCTGTTAAGATGGTGTGAAATGGTTTAAAGTAAATGGTTTAAACAATCAAGTGGCTTTTTATAATTTTTTTTTTTTTTATTTGTATTACAACTGAAGGCGCATAATGTTATACTAATAAATTGTATGGAAAGGTCCAGTCGTTTCTAACAATAGGTTTTGGAATAATATAAATGTCACAAGAATTCCAATATGTAATGATAACTTGTCTGTATCACATTCTGTATCACATTCTATAGAATAAGCGTTATCAAATTTGGTTATTTAACGCGCTACCGGAATTCAAATTAAATACAAAAGATTATTGGTATTGGAATACGCGAAAAAAAAAAAGCGATCAGAATGGATTCATTTCCATATATCTTCCTTTTTGCTACAAGTATGCTACGTAAAACGTATGCAATATTACAAAGCTAATAAAATTTTTTGTAATTTAGCCTAAATTAATTGTTTCTGTAACATGAAAAAACTCCGCGTTAAAATACAGCAAAATCTAAAACTCCGATATTTTATTTTATTTTGGAAAACGGTTAAATCTTAAATTTTTTTTCATATGGATATGCACGTACTGTATTGGTACATATTTCCAAAAGAGACAACATGTATTATAAAAGAAAAGATTTTGGATTTATTATAAAAAAAAAAAAAAATCCCACGATTGAGGGATGTGTACAACTAGAATGAACTAAGGTTTCAACGCGACACTACGTAGTGTTAAGAAAGATTGCGCAAGATAAAGATTGCGCATTTGATTTCTTTGTGCTTGATTATGGAGCAATCTCATAATATAATCCAAAATTGGTACCTTTATTCTCCACAGAAGCCTTTACAAATCGCTTTGTTAAATTTTACTAATTAACCTTGCCTGTTTAATGTGAGACATGAGATATTTTGTTGCTAGTTACTGTATGGTACTCATCCAGAAGTTCATGTACTGTACTGTATATCGTATCATTCTAACGATAAGCATGTAATATTGCTATCAAAGTTACGTATTAAAAAATTATAATTCACGTGTTGTGGTTATAAATATAACGATATCCGATATTCTGCTAGATGTCATCATTTATTTTATAGTCGTGGTACAATATGCGGCCGATATATGTAAATCTCATTTATTAATTATTTTGCATGTATGTCATAATGTTGCATATCTATACGTACCACATTGTCATGATAAACAATGAATACTATTTTATTCTAATTGTTGAACGTTATACGTAATAGCAAAATTATTGCAATTCTAATGGTCTTTAATTATCTTGAATTGAGAGTGGGTTTCATAGAATTGAATTACCTGTAATGAAAAAAAAA